AGTTGAGATAGTTGTTCACGCAAGGAGTTTCGGAAAACAATAAAGTGGCGGCCGCTACTGTTACTTCACTGCTGTTTTGCGTGTGCCCATGTCCACATCTTGGTGCACCGCTTAGTTTTCTCACTGTAAGCAATCAAACAGGCCATCACGACGCCCTGATGACGTATCTTTGGAGGTTTCCAGCTGACAGTAGTGGTCGCTTAATGGTCTCTGACGTTTTGCACTCATAGTTGGATGCATATCATCGAAAGTAAGAAATCCGACCAGTTCGCCCCCGTCGACTTCAGAGGTGTAAGATTCGACTTCGAATCCTCGAAGTCGATTTAGGTATCGTGGGAGATGCGTTCACCGATCAGGCTACGGGATGTGATTGCCCTCTTGCGCCTTGGGGCTCAATTTAAAGTCCTTGTAGGTAGTAATCACACAGACCATCCCAACCTTCCTCGCATATGTATGTACCCCTTCCTCAATTAAATTACGCTTGCTGCCTTGAGATTAGCTGCAGGGCAGCATTACTTCCTTGGTCTCCAGCGCCTGAGTACTTTAATTCCCGACCTTGATGACTGCTCTAAGAAGGGCGTAAAGTTAAGAACGTGTATAATCTACAAGATCATTGTGCAGGGTTATTATGTACATCAGTGAAATGGCAGTCGGTTGGGAGGCGCTTGCCCGTCAGTCGTCGTATGCGCGGGTCCTTGTGTGTCGGCTGCCCGACTTTAGCTTTCGCTTAAATGTGGGCAGAGTTGGCGCCGCAGGCGAGGATTCGGCATCTGGCTCCGGTTTGGTCGCTGCAGACTGTCCCGCCGATTCGAGACATGACTTGAGCTGTTGTAGATTGGCGGCGCGTTGTGCACTGGCAGAGACCGCCAACTGTTTCTCCTCGAACGCAGGATGCTTGGCGTCGGCAATGTTGGTTTCATTGACCTCCGCGAGGCGGGCCACCAGTTCAGCCTTCTCCGCGAAGACGTCTTGCGCGTTTGCGGACTTGCCTTTGGCGACCGAGGGTAGGCAGAGTTTAATCCTCTCAAATTTAGACTTTCTTACATTCGTCTCCGAGGGCAGGTCGAGTTTGAGGGCCGGTTTTGGTGGTCTAAAAGGCGCAACTACGGGTCAGTTACGTGGCATCCGTGAGAGTTTGTCTCAGTTGAGTGGCGAGCTTAGAATGTGTCAGCATACGTAGTAATCTAGCAAGAAGAGAATACGAGGTACCTTGGTGTACTCCGCTCCTTATATAAGTGGAAAATTGAGCAAGTGAACCGAGCTGGAGTCATTTGTGCCAGCCAGCCCGGTTCTACGTGGAGCGGAGCGTGGAAGTGTGGCTAGTGTTTACTACTGAGGACCGAACCCGTATCTGCGAACATTGTTGGTAATTCTCAACTGCATAAAGATCCAGTATGGGACCAGGAAGTCGTATGTACTGAACACCTTGGGCCAGTCTCCTTCGACAACTTCCGATTGACAGGTACAGTGAGCCAAATTGCCCGGTAATCCTCGCACTATGATGAAATTACGACAACTGACTAAGTTTATTATGGCAGTGATGCCGAGACTGGCAGCGCCCCTTGTGTCCAGACCATGTTCCTGTTCGTACACGTCTGGAAATTCGCATCCGAAACGCAAATGGTCACGTGCATGACGACCTGATTGGGCAAAACTACGACAATCCAGCGCAGCCAAGGCTCTTAGCACACAAATCCGGTCTCGCTTTACGACCCGAGAGGGCAGTAGCATATCTTCCTTTTATCTAAGTAGTCAGTATGTCAGGCAACCGGCGACACCATAGCGACTGAATCAGCCCAAGGACCTTACAGTTGTCTGTCAAGGACGGCTTGGGCCGGGTGTCACTTTTTCCGCCGGAGAGTGATGACCACGAAAAGTACGACACCGAAATGTCCAGCTTAACCTGCTCCAAACGTCGGCGACAATCAAATTATTCATCAGGTTATTGGTAGGCCCTCTGCACTGAGTGTTTGCGATGTGAATGGCGTGGATTATGTGGGTGACCTAACTTATCAAAAACTAGCTGAAATTCTGAAATATGATTTCAATTAGAAAGGATTACTTAGGTTCCGTTGGAAGATTAATTAGCGTGGACTTTGGAGTGCGTCTTTAAATCACCTGTGGAAATCCCAATTGCTAGAAGTGACTACTTGTGTAGTAGGGGTTTTGTTCGCTGATCTTCGGTGTCCTATAAATCCAAATACATTTCATGGGAGGCGTATTTATTTCGTAGAAAATTGCACCTTTATATTTTTATACTTAAAAAGATGTGCTCTGGTTTTAGAACAGCTTGTAATTAGGCGATTTTTAGGACCAAGAAATGTTTATTTAAGCAACATAGTACCTAGACGTTTATTATTTATCCTTTTACATATATACTACAATTTTTGATGCGTTAGATATCACCTTAACGGTGCATACGAATAAATCCTGGCAAGGACGCAGTATGCGACCCCACTCAGGGAACAAAAACCAGGTAATCGTGTAATACGAGTTTTGTGGGTGGGGTTAAACGGCGGAAAGGAGAGCGCGATAGCAGGTAAACATTCGGACGAGCGTTGAGGTGGCATATTGCGATATCGCGCTAGATTTCCCTACAGCTGCTTACAACTGAGAGCACGTACCAGGAACTCGACCCCCGAGGAATGATGGGGGTATCGAGATAACTGACAGCGCAGGCAAGAGTTGAGCATTTTTCACAGCTCTTCCAGTCTGCTTTCACAAAAGCAGACTGCGTCCCATCTAGTTATGAGAGCGTAGAGGCGTCAATTATAAAAAAAGCGCGGACGCAATATTCCACGATGACTTGGTTCTCGTTTCCTGAGTGGGGTCGCATACTGCGTCCTTGCCTAAATCCTTTTACTTAAATGAACAGTACACATCGTGTGGTTTGCAACAACGAAACGTGAGCGTAACGCTAGTTGGGGTTTCAAATTGTTGGAGAGAACCTTTTTAAAAACTAAAAAATACTCTCGTTCTCAAATATAACGTTTACAGAATGTGTCACTTGCTATAAACGGAATACCAAAAAGAACGTTTTTAGCGTGCGTCCCATAAAATGCATTTGGATTTTTAAGGGCATCGATAATTGATGGATAAAATTCACACTACAACAACAAGGCGCCCCAACGGGATAGCATTTCCATCTAATTCTACAAGTCCTGCGTCGACATTGACACCCCGGCTCCACGAGGTAATTAAACAAGTGTGGTGAGATGACTTCCAGCCTGATAACTGGGACTAGGCCATCTTCTTGCCTGTCTTCAAGAAGGGGAATAAGACAAAGTGCAAAAACTACCGCGGCGTAAGCCTCATCGACGTTACTGCGGAGGTTTTCGTTGTCATTCTTAGGTGATTTTAGTGTGTATGACTTACGAACGAGCTTGACCTGGATGTACCAATAAGGCACTCAGACTGCGACGTTACTTTGGATTACGATATTGTTAACAATAATCGGCAGCCGCCAGTCTCTTTGAATCGTCTGTCTGTTCAAGTCAGGTCGCCGTAGAGAACGATGGGATTAGAAGGCAGGCCAGCAAGAATTGTCTTCATGAAAGTGGTCTCCAATCGTTCCATTACTGCGAAAATTCTTGTCCACACCAATCTTTCCAACCGCGCGATATCCGGTCCGGTTACATTCGGTCGCCCACTCTGTTCACTTACGTCACTGACTGGATTCACAGAAAGTAAGCCGTTTGGACCGCGTTGAATTTGTATCCGGGCGTAGGCTGAGTAACCTCGACTACGCTGAAGACACCGCCCTAGTAGACCCAAGCACTAATCTACAGAAGGCGGTGTTGTGGGTGGATGAGGTGGCCAAATGGGGCAATTCATCTACGAACGCCAGAGACCCAACTTACTTGCACTTGATACGGCCGCGATCATGCCTGATCTAGCCGGCCTCGATGATGTCCCGAACTGTACCTCTCCACGCGTGACGATCCGCGGCAGCAGATCTGGACAGCTCAGCCCATTCCCTTCGCCAACGACGTAGACCGAATACCAAAGGTTCGAGAACCACCTCCATGTCCTGACGAACTGTGTCAGGGATGCAGCTTGAAAACACTTTGGTCTTCCCAGCGGTTATGGACAAACCGACCGATTTGGCAACCTCGTTCACCCGTGACACCATAGACTGTACATCACCAAAACTTGAAGCAAGTAAGGCGATATTATCGGCATAGTCAAGATCAGTCGGTCGATGTCCGGGTGCAAACCCAACGCCGTCACTCTCACGTTGGGCCCTGCCGAGGATCCAATCAATGGCATAGGTGAACAGAATGGGTGACAGGATGCAACCCTGTCGAGCGCCAGATCGAATACCGAACGGTTGGGAAAGATTGTTGCGGACCAGGACTCTCGCAATAGTGGAGCGATAATAGGCCTTGCTCATGGCGATGATTTTTGCCGGTACACCATCTAGCGCCATTATCCGCCACAGGGACTCACGATGAACGGAATCGAACGCCGCGGCAAAGTCAATGAAGCAGACGGCCGTCGGTTGTTGATAGCTATGGCGAAATTCGAGAATGCGCCTCAGTGTGAATATCTGGTCTGCGCATCCACGTCCAGCACGAAATCCAGCTTGGTTTGGCCTCGTCCTTGAGTCACGCACAGCCTGGAATCGTCTGGGTAGGACAATAGCGAAGATCTTCGCAGCAACGTCGATGAGACTCATGTCGCGGTCGTTCTCGCATCTCGTCTTATCTCCCCTCTTGAGGATAGAAACAAGTATGCCTAGGCCCCAGTCATCAGAAACAACCTCGTCTCTCCACGTTCGTTCAATCACCTCATGGAGCCAGGGCGCCAGAGTGTCGACACAAGACTTGAAGATTTCAGCGGGTATACCGTCCTTTCCGGGTGTCTTATTGTTGCGCATCTTTCGTATGGCATCGGCGACTTCTCCTTCAGAGGGGGGTCGCATAACACTGCGTAGGTAGGAGAGGGAAGAAACTCCGCTGAAGAGGAGAACATGGGCGAGGTAGGTTGGGTATTGAAGTTGAGATGGTGCTCCAAGTGCTCACGCCAGCGCTCGACTTTGGCCGAGTTGTCAGCAGAGATCCAAGCGTCTTTAAGTTGCGATTCTTACCAAAAGGAAACACGTTGAGATAAATGGCTATCAGCTTGAAGAAGTGGATAGTCTCGAACACCCAAGAGCGAAGTTACCATCAAATAGACAGGGCAAGGGTGACATCATCTCCTCAATTGACGCTGCTTGAAGGGTTGCCGCAATTCTTATGTGTTTATAAACCCGACGTGATATCTTCATCGCCACAAAGATTGGCGTGTGCTGGGCCTTTTTACGGTTTGTCCTCCTATACGACTGTGAGGGCTGGGCAGCGCGCATAGAAGATGAGCAAAAACGAGAGGTGTTTGACGATCGTGAGCTGAGAACAATCCTACGAGTGAAGTGCACTGACTTTATCGCGAAGGAAACAGTTCGCATTCTCAGCGACAACATCGCGGGCGTATCTCAGACCATTCAAGAAAGATGACCGAGGATTCAGTGTTGCTGCCCTCCATCCGGCGCAATTATACATCTGGAGGCGTCGAAGAGGTCAACTTAAAACCTGTCTAGACACAATCTATAAATAAATGGGGATTGTTCCTGGGTTTTCGATATTCGCTGTCCATCGCCGAGGAAGGAAGTAGGCTGAGCTTTTTAGATTCGTCGCTGCCGATAGTCAGGTCAGCTAAATCAGGCATGATCAGAACCGTACCAATCAGTGATCAATGGTCTACCCGCGATGCTAACTCGATAATTTTCTACTCATGGGAGTATAGGCAGATGATAAAGAGTGTGTCTGAAAGAGACAACAAAGCCTTACTTCTACGTCCCCATCCGCTGCTACATCCATTAAGTCGTCAACGAAAAGTCTGTGGATCATCCTTAAAACGCTGTCAATAGTATTCATTTGTGGCGGTTCTCCGTCCGATGCCCGTGAAATGATTTTTCCGCCCATACAGAGTGACGTGCATTCCGCCTAGTGGTAAAAGTATTAATGTGGACGTTCGGGTAAGGTATCATGGGAATGAGGCCAAGGAAAGCAGTTTCGCCATCGAGAAATTAGCCACATACTTCTGGTGCGTTTATGAGCGTAGATTTGGAAGTGTTATTAACAAAACGAACAGAATGTACATTGAAACTCTGCTTGTATATGGTCTTAACAAGACTGTGAAGCTCGCGGGCACTTGCCGAATAATAGGGTACCCCGAAAAGTAATTTCAGGCAACTGAATTGAAAGCTCTTAAAAATAAGGAAACAGTCTCTGTTGGTTGTCGGTAAGAGAGTAGACGTTCAATCATTAGACAGAGGATGAAGATATAGCCTGTGCAAACGCAGCTTGACTTGAGCCTGACATTCCTATCTGGAACCCTTCGTGCTGGTGAATCGCCGCAGGACGGATTTTCCCACGACTCTTCATGCTCTTGAACCTACTGCCTGTGAAAAATTCACGAAATCCGGTTCTGACCTTTTTTTAAGGAGATGGATGCTTGAAGAAGGAAGTGTCGCGTAACCCCAACTGGAGGCAACTGGACAGGAAACTTACACGAGCCTTGTGCTCTGGTAGTTATGTCAGAGGAGCAGCTCGAACAGGTCTGCTTTTGTGCTGAGATCTTAACATACCCTAGTAGCAAGCGCATATCGCCTCGACAGCGAGTAGATAGCGTATTTTTGATATGCATATATCGAGTGGATAACGTTTTTGTCCGGCGGATGTGCACTAGAGTGCACATACCTGAGTTATAACCGCCTGATTGCAGGCGCCATACTTAAAAAGGACTTTGAGAGTGGAAAACACCATATTTGAGGCTCAAAAATATTAACTGACTCAAAATATCAAAACTAAAAAGCTAGACAATATGACTTCCTGCAGAATATGTAAAAGACGTGGGGTTCTGTCAAATCCCTAGCTTCTAAAAAGACTATAAATATCGGACTTCGGAATAGGTGAAAAGTGATGCTTGTAAAAAAACGGCATTCCCTAGAGTAAGCGAAAAGGAAGGAATCACTTACTCTGGTAGTACAGGTTGCCATTCCCCTAAGAGATTCACTCTGATTTTCGACTTCTTAGGTGAAGGTGGCGCGGCCGGTTCGACTGGACTTTCCGCGTTATCGTCACTATCAGCGTCCTTCACGTCCTCACTTGTGGACGAGGGTAGGGGCGCATCAAAGGCTTGACAAACTGCTTCGTTGGCCCCAGAATGTCCAGACTCGCTCAGTTCGATAAGCCTATTAAACAGAAACTGATCAAGACGTTGTTTTTCCCTTTGAACTGAGGCGGAGTCATCAACTGGCTCAATCGAGGTCTGTGGTCTCTCCCACTGGGTGACACCAGTCTTCTTATTCCAGTAATAAATCGACCCATCAGCAGTCTTAACCTCCTTCCATTCATACACCGTTTGAGTCGGTGGGCGGGACGTAGTTGGTGCAGGTGGCGCCTTAGGTTTGCTACTGACGCCAGACTTCTCGAGCTCATCAATTTTCTTTTTCATGTTAGCAAACTTTTCGTCTAAAAATAAGATCATGAGAAGGAGATCTACCGGTCAGGGACACGCCATAACGCTTCGCAAGACTAGGGTCTCGCTCGATGTCCTTCATCATCCCAACGAAAGCCATCTAAAAATGACCATAAACAAAACCAATATACATCATTGATTAATGAGATTTTCTCTCGCATCTTTCCCTCGGTGGATTCTTTGCAATTTTTTCGCAAATCATTCAATTTCTTCTGCACATTTGCCTTGTGCCGCATCCCAGTTTCATGGTTGGTGATGCTCTGCAAGCAAAATCTGGTCAGATAATTAGCCCAACGTACGATTTTGTTGTCGGCAAGCCAACATTTGCAAATTTCGCAGAACTTTTTTGGATTGCTCTTCCAGTAGTCAGCCATCTCTTGCAGTCTTTGAACTCTTGTTAGGAAGAGTACCGAGAGGACCGATTTGAAAACAGCCTAAAAACGGTCACTGCTAAGTCGACACTCCGAATACCACTTAGTTTCTATCTTAAAGCAAATGATCGACTTGCCGACACTAGGGTATACTAAGAGCTACGAAGCAGTTTAATTGTTGAATTTTTACGTTTGGCCCGCCGTTGAATCTGGAAGATTGACCAGGCTAAATGCTTTTCACTAGCGGATGGTCTCTGGAATTCTAGGTTGCACTGAGTAGTGATCAAAACTGAAAATGACTGAAGGCGAAAGTTAGAGTTCCACTTGTATGTATAAGTGATGGAGAAGGATGATAGAGCACCGGAGCATCTTGTTTATTGCCCTGACTGCTTAACATGGTGGAACCTATTTCCATACCCAATCAGCCTTTTTACTCAAGTTGCCTGCAAAAGCGTTAACGCTAATTAAAACGGAACACAGATCAAAAGGGGAACAATAAAAGTCTGTCGAAGTCGGTTATAACTGAAGGAACCATCACCTAAGTCACATAGCCTGTAACAATGTGGCAATTGATGTCGAGAAAAGAGCCCGATATAAAAAAGGACTGATGCAATAGCATGCACAAGCCTGGCTCTTCTCAGTCTCCGCTTGCAACATGCTTTTCCGGTAAGTATCGTTTTAAGCACTTCTTTGCCTCTGATCGTTTAGTTTTTAAGGGTTCGATTGTTGGTGCCTGCTGTAAAACGGCATCTCTGGTCCGTAGTAGTGGCAGTCTATTTGCCGGACAATCTTGATCATCCAAACTGGCAAACCAGCTTCAACGTCAGCTCGGGGAGACCCTCGCTCAAGACGCTCTGAAGCCTGTCCCTGTCTCACCCAGGCGCCCGTCCTGGCGGCGCTGGATATGTCTTCGTCAGTAAACTTGCTTTAACCTATTGTCGATTCATCTTTTTCCTATGCGGGGTCGGGCCAGAAGGTCGTAGTAGCTAGCACCTGCCCATGGCTTAAGTTACCGAGACAAGTTTCCTTTGGCTGAGTCAAATCATTATTACTGCATTCAAAAACTCCACGTTTTCCTTATAAATGTGTTTTTGCATGTGAACAGAGGGAATTCTTCAAACCCCCTTACATGTTGTGTAATGCCTATGCCAGACGCTTGTTATTTTCTTTACTGCGGCCTCTGCAATTGCTGGCATAACCGTTGCTGTGTCACCATCCGATTTTCGACCTTCAAATTACTACCTTGCTAGTGCAGTTCCGATTTAGCCGAACCAGACTAGTAAACTATTTGGCTGCTCTGACGAGGTATGTCCGGCTAGTACTATGTAGAGTAACTTACCTAGGATCACATTTAATTGTATAGTCCTTAACTCTTAAGCAATTTTCTTATGTTCATAAGCCAGCCTTCCAGGAAGTGAAAGACAGAATCCCAACAGATGTGTACGTTTGCACACATTTTTCATTTTTCACTCTAAACTTTCTTGTACACCTAAACGTTTCTGTACAGTTGTTCAAATTAACTACAATACACACACTTGGTTTCGACTTCTGAAAAAGCGTGACTTTTGTGTCCGTCTGCTGCTTGGTGTCATTGTTTCGTTGATTGCACTGATTTACGTCAATCGTTTTTGGTCAATCGTTACGAAACTTTTATATATTTTGGCCATATTTAACTGGACGTTATTTCGCCTGAGCGAAAAGCCTCACTCACTGACTTCGTCTCGGATTTTACCCAAATCATTCACCCTACGGCCAACGATTGTGGAGAAGGCTTTATTTTTCGTGAGTCTGTACAATTATATACCCTTTGTCGTTTTTGTTACACTCTTTTTGTTATCGTTATTTTTCTTGTGAGAAACACAGCATTCCCCACTTAGAGTTAGGTATTTATTATTGTTTGTAGTTTAATCGCTGTTTACTCTACAAAAGTGGTGACCCTGTTTTTAGATATCTACGCAACCTATTATTTACAATGACCGATAACGAACCTAAAGCAGACCCTCTCGACGTCAATACCCTCTCCTTCAAACTACCCCCTTTTACACCGAGCAACCCCCGGGTTTGGTTTCGTCAAATTGAATCGGTTTTCTCGACGAGCCGTATTACAAGCGAACGCACCCGCTACTCCTATGTTGTGAAAAGTCTCCCCTTCGACGTCGCCGTCGATGTTGACGACCTCCTCGACCCTATTCCTGCCAACGAACCGTACACCCAGTTAAAGAATGCCGTCATCTAGAGAGTGGTCGAGTCGGTCAATCGGATGCTACGGGAGTTGTTCACACCGGTAGAACTGGGAGATCAAACTCCTTCGCAGCTTATGCGCCACATGCGCCCATTACTGGCTGGTCGTCATGTGGTCGACGGCATCCTTCGACAAATCTGGTTGGATAAGTTGCCGGTTCCCATGCAGTAGGTTTTGTCTATGCTGGACATTAGAATCTCTCTAGACAAAGTGGCCAATCATGCCGACAGGATCAGTGAATGTTACCCAGTTGGCGCGACATGCGTCAACATTCAACTGACCTCGGCGCCCGACAGATCTGATGGAGTAGCCATCTCCTATCCCGAAGGCACTCCTTCACTAGACGCTTGTGTGGAGCGGTCGGCCTGTCGTTGCTCATCACGCAGAGCCACCACGCCATCAGGTCCATCAAAACAACTGAACAGTCCTCACCGCAGTGACTATGACGATCTAAGAGACACTGTACGTCTTCTGTGCACACAAGTGAGCACAATGTGCACTGCGCTCAACAGCTCACAGTCGTCAAGAAACCGGTCACCTTCACGCCGTCGTTCTAGATTTCGTGAACACTTTCTACAAATCTGTGCTGATATAATCGTGTTTCCGGTCCGAAGGCATGCAAGTGCTTCCCTCCCTGCACGTACATGTAGGCCTCGCAACAGGGAAACGACCGCGCCAGCCAGTAACGGCGACAGCTGCCGCTGGCCAGTCACGACCCAATCGCCTGTTTTATATCGGTGACAAGACGAGCGGCCTCCGTTACATTGTCGGTACTGGTGCCGAGATCAGTGTGATCCCGCTTCCAATGCACCACCATCAACATTTATGGCCAACGGTCACTCACACTTGACATCGGACTTCGGCGACGTTTCCAGTGGGTCTTTGTGCGGGCCGACGTTAAATCTCCCATTATTGGGGCAGATTTCCTAACTCATTTTTGCCTTGCAGTCGACCTCAGGCATCGCAAACTTATCGATACCGTAGGCATTGCTGCTTCTGAACCCTCGGTTAGCATCCAGTTGACCGTACCCAGATCTCCTTTCGCCGACATTCTGAAGGACTACTCCTCCCTCACTGGGCCCTGTCAGTTCACTGGGGAGGTTCAGCCTACGGTTTAACACCACATCGTCACCACGGGGCAACCTGTTTATGCTCATCCTCGCCATCTTCACCCCGAAAAACTTCGGATAGCAAGGAACGAATTTGAGCCTATGATGAATCTAGGAATTATTCGTCCTTCCTCCAGTCCATGGGCTTCTCCTCTCCACATGGTAGATAGATAGATAATTTTTATTAAAGACCCGTCGGGGTCCCATCAAACCCAAGAAATCAACTGATGATTGGAGACCATGCGGCGACTATCGCCCTCTCAACAGAGCCGCTGTTCCCGACCGATACCGTATTCCCCATATGCATGATTTTTCTCCCACGCTAGATGGAAAAACTATTTTTTCCAAAATAGACCTCGTAAGAGCATACCACCAGATTCCGGTCGAGGAAGAAGACATCCCCAAAACCGCCATCACAAAGCCTTTCGGTTTGTTCGAATTCCTTTGCATACCGTTTGGTTTGCGCAACGCGGCCCAATCCTTCCAACGCTTCATCGATGAGATCTTGCGGGATCCCTCAATCACTTCTGTCTATATTGATGACATACTCGTCGCAAGTTCTTCGGCAGAGGAACATGCCTCGCACTTGCGCCAGATATTCGACCGTTTCCAGAAACATGGTCCGCAGTTAAACGTCGACAAATGTATCTTTGGCGTCTCTTTTCTAGATTTCCTTGGTCACCACGTCGACCATCATGGAATCACATCTTTGCTAGAGAAGGTGCACAGCATCCTGTTATTCCCTGTCTCTAAGACGCTAACTCAGCTTCGGCGTTTCATGGGTCTTCTCAAGTATTACAGACGTTTTATCCCTCACTTTGCGACGACCCTAGTTCCCTTAACTGACCTTCTAAAGTCTAAAGCAAAGCCGATCGAATTTCCTCCAGCAGCTCACTCAGCCTTTCAGGCAGCTAAGAAAGCTCTTGCTGATGCCACTTTGCTTCATCATCTTAGCTCCGATCCCACTGACGCTTCCAACAGTGCTGTCGGCGCAGTCCTGCATCAACAGGTGAATAAACAGTTGCAGCCATTGGCTTTCTTTTCACAGAAGCTACAACCGGTGCAGACTCGCTACAATACTTTCTCACACGAACTCCTTGCCATCTACTTGGCCATTCGTCATTTTCGACACCTCTTTGAGGGCAGAGAATTTTCGGTTCAAATCGACCACAAACCTCTCACTTACGCCCTCAAGGTCAAGCCAGATCGGTAGTCGAACAGGGAAATTCGTCATCTGGACTATATGTCGCAGTTTACTGCAGATATCCGCTACGTCCGAGGCAGCGACAATGTCGTTGCTGATGTATTATCCCGTCCGGACATCAACACACATCCGATTTCGACCTGGCGAAGCTTGCAGACCTCCAATCAGGCGAAAAGTCCATTGACGACCTGCGTTCTACTATTACTCTGCAACTTCTAGATGCCCCACTTCCCGCATCACCAGGCACGATTTTGTGCGACTGGTCCACAGGCACTCCTCGACCTGTTGTTCCACTATCCTAACGCAAGACAGCGTTTGACCATTTTCATTCCCTGTCACATCCTGGCATCCGCGCTTCGCGTAAGCTAATAGCCACTCGTTTTATCTGGCCGAAGATGAACTCCGACATCGCTCTTTGGAATAAACAGTGTTTAGCCTGCCAGTAAAATAAAGTACACCGCCACACATTTTCTCCACCAAGTACGTTTGCCGTTCCAGATGTTCGATTCCACCACGTCCACTTGGATTTAGTCGGTCCGCTACCCCCTTCACGCGGGTACACGCATATTCTGACAGAGGCTGACCGTTTCACATGATGGCCGATTGCCGTTCCCATCTTGAATATCTCGACAGAAAATATCGCCATGGTTTTTCTGACGCACTGGATTTCAACTTTTGGTGTTTCAGCCACCCTTACTACGGACCGCGGGAGTGAATTCCAATCTAGCCTCTTCCGTGAGTTCTCAAACTGCTCGGGTGTGCGCACATCACAACCACGGCATATCACCCTGCCTCCAACGGCCTCGTGGAGCGTCTACACCGTCAACTCAATTCGGCACTGATGTCCCAGGCAGAATCAGCTTTTTCGAGTGACAATTTCCCTCTTGCGCTTTTGGGCATCCGATCTTCTGTCAAGGAGGAAATCCAATGCACTTCCGTCGAACCTGAGTACGGTACACCCCTCCGTCTTCCCGGCGAATTTGTGCAGACTTCCGAAACGAACACCAACATCCGAGCACCTTCGTACAGCAGTTGAAACAACGCATGGCTCAACTGCGTCCAACCACCAGTCGTCTGACATCCAAACGTGTGTTTGTGCATGAGGACCTTAAATCTGCACCATCCGTTTTCGTCTGGCATGACGCGGTTTGCAAGTCTCTTTGTTCCCCATATGATGGCCCGTATAAAGATCTTCAGCGGATGGACAAGTATTACGTCATTCAGAAGGCTGACAAAACTGACACAGTCCCCATCGACAGACTTAAGCCAGCCTATCTTGAGTGCGTCCCGCCGTCAGTTGTGCCACCGAATTCCTCTGCACCGTCCTCATCCGATCCACCCGTTTCGGTCCCCTCGACTCAACCACCACACTCGACCACCCCACCCACCCATACTGATTTTCCTTCTACTCCACCACGCACCTCATCTCATTCTGGTAGACATATCCATTTTCCTGCCAAACTCAAGGACTTTTTGGTGTAACATTTTGCATTTTTTATCGAGCGTTTTTTGTACAACAAACGGTCTGGTGGGGGAGATGTGTAGGTTTACGCACATTTTCCATTTTTCACTCTAGACTTTCTTGTACACCTGGACGTTTCTGTGCGATTATTTAAATTTAATAAAATACGCACACTTGGTTTCGAATTCTGAGAAAGCGTGACTTTTGTGTCCGTCTGCTGACAAGCCGAGGATGTAGAAGGTCGTCTGTGGCTGAAAAAGAAGGTAGGAAGATCCTATGGCGATACAGATTGGCCATGAAATGCAATTCCGGCAGTGCACGAATTGCAGCGAAGGCTGTGAGTTAAAAAGTAATGTCGGTGGCTTCTGAGCGATATCATGTTATCTAAGTCACTGGATTTCCAGTGTTAGCCATAATTATAGGTCCATGGGGTTGTTTTTTGCCCATTTTTCCTGCAGTTGATTATAAATAAGCTAAACAAACAACGAGTCATTGCAATTAATGACGGTGGAAAAGACAGGGTAAACCGAGAAAGGGCCAACAGAATAAGAGGTTCAAATAAGCAAAGTGTTCTATGCCAGTTAACGGAAAATGTAGGCTAACACAAATGCAAATTTACCTAGGGCAAGTCTTAAGAAATATTACTCCATCTTTTTAATAGAAAGGGTCCAATTTAGCCTATCTCGGACACTTTAAAAGAACTTATTTTAGTCGCACTGTTTGTGTTCACCTGTGAAAGAATTTTCGGAAAAATTAAAGATCAGCATTATCCAGACATTTTAATTGTTCCGTGAAATTACTGTTTACGATGATAATTCCAACTGGGCATTTTTAATCCACAATCATGTATCCCACCACAAAACAAGGCGAATTTTACGCCGCTATTCTGCTGATTTACAGTCAGTGTAAATTATATATTGAGTATTGACAGTGCAAAGTTTCACTGGCGAAAAGGTCATGATGGAAACCCATAGATAGAGGGCAGGTGCCATTAGTAAAAACTAATTCAAATGCACTTCTGGTCGAAGAGTAGACTAATTAAGATAAGTTTGCAAAGTAAATGGTGTCAAGAAGCTTATGGAATTTAGGAGAGGAAGTATCATGTGCCAATCAATTTCTGGCAAATCAAAATCGCCTTCGATGATCTTGACATCGAAGGAAGTTTCTGCAGTTTTTTCAAAGTGTTCACACAGTTGGCTTTCATTGTCGGAGTACCAAGGATGCTTATATACTTATCCGACTAAGGCTTTCGTATTTTGCGGAAGGATTACCGAAACGAAACATAAATTGCCAGAGAAGGAGGAAATGTTCAGGTCATAGGGCGACTGCGCAAGTGAGGCTCTGATGTAAAGAAGGCAACCGCCGCCGCGTCTTTCGACACGATCCTGGCGGTATAAACTGAGGCTGTCTGTATTGAGTGTCGAGTCTGAAATTAGAGAGTGAGCCCAAGATTCTGTAATGCACAATACATCTGGGTCAAATTCAAAGGCCATACTTCTTAGTTGTGACATCTTTTGCACGACTGGTCCTGCGTTGAGAAAGATAATACTGAACGTTGAATAGGTTTATTATAGCGCCCCTTGGGCACTGTCAGTCTCCTTTGATGTAGGCTCCGCTCATTGCTGCTTATAAAAAAGGGATAGCTGGTGGTGGAAAAATAAGCAGTTGAGATGAAGCAATATGTGGAAAACAAAGCTGATCTGGTCAAAAAATTGTGGGGTATTACCACTTACTAGAGATGGAGCACTGTGTGCAAAAACATTTCAGTATAATTCAGTATATATGAAGGATAGAGGCAGAGCCTTGGAAATCCCTATTTACAGATAGACGTTTGAAAAAACTCATGTGCATATTTACATAGCGGTTATTCCAGGCATTGATATCGTGTAAATGTTTGATCATCAAGCAAAAATTTATCGAGTCTACTTTTGAAGGTCTCAAGGTTTTCCGCTAAGACAACGGAGTTCGGCAGTTTGTTCCATCCTCTATCCAACCGGTGCGAGAATAATTTGGCCCGCAATTCGAGATTGACATATTTTGTCTTCAATATGTCTTGGTGCCCTCGGAGATTCGTCGTCCGCGCCAGTTAGAAGAAGTCGTCAAACTGAAGAGTATAGTCTAGACCTCGGACAATTCTGAAGGTCATGATCATATCCCCTCTGTATTTTCTAGAAGAGAGAGGAAATATTTTTAGCTTTTCCAACCGTCTCCCATAAGGCAAGATACTTAATCTGCCGACTAACTTGGTCGCTCTTCGTTGCATGTTCTCCAGTAGGGTGTAATCTTGCCTCGTCCAGGGACACCATGCCTGAACACAATATTCCAACATTGGTCGAAGGAGTGCCCCAAATACTCGGCCGAAAAGTTCACCATCAAAAGTGAGGAAGGATCTTCTAATCGCACCTAGGATTTCCATTGCTTTCTTTGATACCTTGGCGCGGTGAGACGATGGTGTGAGAGTTGACGTCAACCACACGCCGAGGTCTCTTAACTGGTTGACTGATTCGAGTTGGTGACCTCCTATAAAGTAGTGAGATTCAAGTCTCAACGGCCTCCTGATGCTCGATCGTAACCGAATAAGTTGGCATTTATTACGCTTGACGTTAAGACACCACTCATCACACCATTGTTGAAAGCAAGTCAGATTGTCTTGTAACTGTACAGAGTCTTCTGGCTTTCTTTCATTTGAGCAGGACCTAGGAAGGGGAATGCTATTTTGTAGGGGTTGGAAAAAAGAAAGCATGAAAATAGAATTTTGTGAATTTTGAGCATAATATAAGGGGTACTTTGGTTTAGATAACGGACTAAATGGTTTCGAGAAACAGCTTACATCAGGAAAAGACTTAATTATTTGGGGTGTCCGGCTAGCAAATGGATTAAAAAATTATCAGCAACGCCATATACTTGCCTTTTGCAGGCTCGTGCGCAAGTGGGCTTCTCAACTGAGGTGTTTACATTACGTTGAGAATTCGGGATAGGAACGGGTAAAGATCTCCCTGAACTATCATCTGGCTTATTTGACCTAACCGCAAGGTCAGACCTGAGTGGCCAGGCGCGGGAACGGAATGTATTTGATCTAGGTTTATTAACTAATTCATTATTCTGAGTGCTGGAGGTCGGTTGTGCTTCTAGGATCGGCTCATCTTTTCTGTTAAGATCGAGCTCGTAAGTAAATTTGGGAGCCGCATTTGAGCGATCCTTGCTTCTTGGAGGCATTTTAAAGAGGCTAGTTTCAACTGACTCTGTGATAGTTTTATCAACTGGAGAGCTAGATGGAACTGGACCTCTGCAGAAAAAGGAAGATTTCGCAAATGGTAGTTGAGAAGAATTCTGGGGTAGCTTTACGTTTGTTAATGGAGCGGAAACTCTTCGTTGCAGTGGTGTCTGATCTCGCCTAGAATAAAAGTTTATTTCCCTGAGATATGGAGCCGAGCGCACCAAATGGGAAAAAATAAAGTCCACTTCTATCGACGAAAATAGTTTGACACGAATTGGTGGATTTTTGCTCCTAGATGAAAGTCTTTTAGCTTCAGCGGCCCTAAAGTTG